AAGGAAGGAAGGAAGGAAGGAAGGAAGGAAGGAAGGAAGGAAGGAAGGAAGGAAGGAAGAAGTAAAGAAAAGAAAATCCATTCAAAGGTCTCAAATAGTACAAAACTGGCCATCTTGATCTTAGGAATTAAGCTGATTTCAGCTATTTTCTCCTGTTGCTAATATTACCTAATACCTACTAGCAAGTAGAGTTTCAGGTATAAACAGAGTAAGCAGTTGAACAGCTCAACCAGTTCACCTGGGATCCTGACTCTGGCATAGAAAAACCTCACATCTTAGGGGTACCTCTCATTACTGGGCCTGGTTACCCTAAAAAGACATATCCTTGCTAGGAAATTACACAGGTACCTACATAACAACTCGCACTCCAAGTATGAACCAGATACCCTGGGTTGGATGAAATGTAATTGGTTCCCAAGCTTTAAGTAAAAACAGAGATAAATTTTCTCAACCTGTCAACATATAAAGACATTTCTGAAGCCAAAAGCACTCTTTGGACTGGCACAAATCTACACAACACACTTTGTCTAACTCCATCTGGCATATCTTACAGCCATAGTGAAACCCCTCTCTCCAGCTCAAATACTCTTCCTCCTCTCCCAGAAATGTAACTTGTACAGGTGATTCACATGTCCTGGCCATTACTGGGCAGAGCCTAGGCGAAGATAATGTTGGGAAGATTCGTCCTTCTCACAACTTTTTTTAGAATCAGGCTAATCTTGTGAAATAATTTCTTAAAAATAAACAACAATAAAAAAAAACACAGAAAAAACTAAGGCCAGGCACTGGTGGCTCATGCTTGTAATCCTAGCTTCTCGGGAGGCAGAGATCTGAGGAATACGATTCAAATCCAGCCTGGGCAGGAAAGTCAGTGGGACTCTTATCTCCAATTAATCACCCCCAAAAAAAGCCAGAAGTGGAGCTGTGGCTCAAGTGGTAGAGTGCCAGTTAATGAGCAAAAACATCAGATATTGACTTTGAGTCCCAGGCTTGCACAAAATCATCATCATCATCATCATCATCTCAGGGACAGTGCCCAGGCCCTGAGTTCAAGACACACACACACACACACACACACACACACAACAACAACAACAACAACAACAACAACAACAACAATAACAATCAGTGCTGTTTTGACTTTTTATAGGCTGGAAAGGTTTATAGAGAGTACACTAAAACAAAAAGGATGCTATTTCCTTAACACATTTGGAAGTGAAGGTCAAAGAACATCCCAAGTTAGCTTTTAAACACTGTAATGATAAATGGAAAAATCATTGTTTTTGGAATAAGTACTTCAACAAATTGAGACTGCAGATTCACCAGGGGAAATGGTAAGTAATCACTGTGAGAGTACAAGGCCATGATTGAAGAGACTCAGACATTTTGAACAAGATAATAAAGTCAGATCTTCTAGCATTTGTCTAAGGTGCTCAGTGCACAAAGTATTACAAGAAGAGCTTTGAATTCCAGGCTCCATCTAGGAACAAAAAGGAAGCTCATTTTTCTTACCATCATGAACTTGAAAAGCCAACGATGTGATCTTCTGAGTGACAATCATCAGAGGCCTAAAAGCAGGACAGAAAAATGGAAAGAAGAAAAGAATTTTTTAATGTCAGGGGAAAAAACTTTGCACTATTTCATTACGTGGTTGTCTACCTTAAGTTTTAATTAAACAAAATACAAAACTAGAGAAATCAAAATATTTCACTTTTATTCCTCTGAGAAATATAAAAATATGGAGTTCAAAACATTCCATGTTTGTTTCCCTTCAAAAATGCTTTTAAATAAAACAAATACACCACCACTGGACAGCAGAATGACAGCTGACATTCTCTCTTGTGCTGTCACTAAAGAAGGGCCCAGGATCAGTACCAGTGGCATTAGCGTCACTTGGAGCATGTCAGAAATGCACAGTCTAGGACTCCATGTGAGACTGGAAGATGAGAATCATTCAAACAAGGTTGCAGGACGTGCGAACTCATATTAAAGTGTGAGAAGTACTGGTTTGGGAGGTACCCAATCCAGTGCCCAGTGTCCACGGAGAGGTCTTTTGTTTTTACTTTAATTGTTATTGTAGAGTTGATATACAGAGGGGTTACAGTTACATGAATCAGGTACTGAGGACAACTCCTTTTGAACCATGTCTCTGTTTCCCTCGTTCTCTCCCAGTTTTTCCCTCATGTCTCCACCTGCAAGATGTATAGTTCATTTTCCACAGTATCTTGTGAGTACCACTGCTACATTTGTTCACCCTTTGTCCCTCCATTTCTGTGTCTTCCTTACTCCCTCAAATACTAACAAACATTTTAAGACAAAAGGGAATGAAAACAGAAACAGTAATGATAGCAACAAAAAAAATGCCTCTTGTTTCCTTTTCTTACAGTTCACTTCCTAAAAGATTATTTTATATGATCATATGCAGATAACTTTGGGCCTTTGTCAACCACTCCTTTGCATATCCTCCTTTGGCTTCAGTGTGTGAATGTCTAGAGTCTTATATAATTTATCATGTCCCAGTGTGTATATGTATGTATATGTAAGTATATATATATTAATCATTCAGTGTGTTTATTTGTAGATTTATAGGTACATTCTAGTTACCATGCAACCTATCCATGTTTCTTTGGCTCTGGTTTACTTTGCTTAATATAATTTTTCCAGGTGTTTCCACATCCTTACAAACGGCACAATATCATTCTTTCTGATGGATGAGTAGAATTCCACCGTGTATATAGACAACATTTTCTTGATCCATTCATCCATTGAGGAGCATCTGAGTTGATTCCATATATTGGCTAGGGTAAACAATGTTGCAAGAACATAATTGTGTGGGGGCTGGGAAGGTGGCTCAGTGGTAGAGCGCTTGCCTTGCATGCCTGAGGCCCTGGGTTTGATTCCTCAGCACCCCATAAGAAAAAAGAAAAAAGTCAGAAGTGGCGCTGTGGCTCAAGTGGTAGAGCACTAGCCTTGAGCTGAAGAGCTAAGGGACAGCACCCAGGCCCAGAGTTCAGAACATGATTGTGCTGGTAGCTTTAGCCTTTGTTGTGGTTTATTGAATAAATGCCCAAGGGGCAATTGCTGGTTCATAGGGAAGCCCTATTTTTAGTCTTTTAAGGAACCTCCATAATGTTTTTTTTGTTTTTGTTTTGTTGCCAGTCCTCAGGTTTGAACTCAGGGCCTGTGCACTGTCCCTGAGCTGCTTGTGCTCAAGGCTAGCACTCTACTACTTGAGCCACAGCACTACTTCTAGCTTTTTCTGTTTATGTGGTGCAGAGGAATCAAACCCAGGGCCTCATGCATGTAAGACAAGCCCTCTACCACTAAGCCACCTTCTCACGCCCGCTCATACCTTTATAGAACATTGCAGGATCATTTGTCTTGATAGGATAGTTATGTAAGTAAGATAAAATTAAAGCCACCAACGATTTCCCTCCTTAATAGAACCTCTGTCTTCATGTTTTCATTATTCCCTCCTCCTCTTTTTCTCTTCTTTCCTTTCTTTCTTTTCTTTTCTTTCTTTTCTTTTCTTTTCCTTTTTTTGTCAGTCTTGGGGCTTGAACTCTGGGCCTGAGTGCTGTCCCTCAGCTCTTCAGCTCAAGGCAAGTACTCTACCACTTGAGCCACAGCATCACTTCCAGTTTTCTGGTTGTTAATTGGAGATAAGAGTCTCACAGTAAATAAGGATACAGGTTGACCCATTGTAGCAGTGAACTGTACAAGATAGTATGTGTAAAACAAACTTTACAACTTCTGCAGGCAGTGGGGGGCGGTAATTGTGGAGGTGGGAGGGAAGGGATGGCAGGGGAAAAACAAAGGAGGAGGCAACAATACTCAACAAGAAATGTACCCATTACCTTGCTCATATAACTGTACCCCTTCTGTACAGTATTTTTACAGTAAAAAAGTACAAAAAAAAAAGAGTTTCGTGGACTTTCCTACCCGGGCTAGCTTTGAACTGTGATCCTTAGATCTTAGCCTCCTGAGTAGCTAGGATCACAGGCGTGAGCCACTGGTACCCAGCTTCCCCCACCTTTTCTATGTATGTCATTTTTTTAAATGAAATTTTGTCACATGAGTATGTCTACGGCTTTTATTGTCTTTAAAAACTCCATTTTCAAGAGAAGCATTAATCACTCACCTCTTTTAGACTGGTTAAGGTATTCCCAGTTTTTCACTGTTCGTGTCAAGAGCTGAACATTCTTGTGAATAAATTTTATTTCCTTTGATAATCCAACTCCTATTAATCTAGCCTATTAAGGGATATGAACTATAAAACAATGTTGCAGCCCAGTACTGGGCTACTCAGCTACTAAGGAGGCTGAGATCAGAGGATCAAGATTCAAAGCCAGCATGGGCAAGAAAGTCCGTGAGACTCTTATCTCCAATAAACCACCAGAAAACCAGAAGTGGCACTGTGGCTCAAGTGATAGAGTATTAGCCTTGAGCTGAAGAGCTGAGGAATAGAGCCCAGGCCCAGAGTTCAAGCCCCATGATTGACAAAGGAAGGAGGAGGAGGAGGAAGGGAGAGGAGGAGGAGGGGGAGGGGGAGGGGAAGGGGGAGGAGGGGAAGGGGGAGGAATGTTACTTGAGATCTATGGCAAAATTGCTTTCCAAAAAGATCATACCAATTTATATTTCCACAGGCACTGTGTAAGAGTTCTCAGTTCATAATGCTTTCCAAAATTGGGCGACCACAATTGCCAAAATGAGGGGAGGGTATCTGGCTAAAGAAAGAATTCTTGCTGCTGCCCTCAAAAGGAAACTCAAATTATACCCATCTGTGATGGAAAAAAGAAAATTCAGCTCACTATAACAAACCTAAAAGGAATCAAGGATTAGCTTTATTACAATTGTTTAGCCTCCCTCCAGGAGAACTGCAACTGTTCCAGTACCTTTCACACCCCACATTCACAGAATAAAAGCTTACCACATGTTAATCTATAAAGAATATAAAGAATATTGGCAGTATTAGTGAAGATACATCTTGTGTACCCACTCTACCATGAAGGCCAGTCCAGCTTATGAAAGATTTGATCACTTTTAGACTGCTACACAAAATTTCAAATTTCAAGAATAAACTTCTGCACAAGTTTATGTATTCTCCCAAATTAAAAACATCTCTATAGGTTCTTTAACACAAACACTAATGGCATCCAATCCCATCCAATCACCATCTGTGCTCTTCTAAACGCATCATGAAGCTGGGCACTGGTGGTAATCCTAGCTATTCAGAAGGCTGAGATTTGAGGGTCACAATTTAAAAGGTGTAGCGCAACAAAGTGTGAACAACACTGAACTTTGCCCACAGGCGCACAATGGAAAAGCAGCCACATCTGTGCAACACAGGGTTCAACTTCAAAACACAACTTCATCTCTTGATAAACCCCTAAGCATGCTATTTTGACTGAAATAACTCAGGTAACATCAGTTCCATTCTGTAAGGTCACTTTTGGTTTGCATGTTAGTAATGAGAACAGACATGGATCAAGATCCAATGTCTTGTGATTGACAAATTGGTGATGTAAAACATCTGGTCAACTTGAGGGAGGGTGGATTATATGTACCTCTCCATTTATGTGGCCTGGCATTATCAAAGAACATAAATGCATTCCAGTGAGCCCTTGTGCAGTGGCTGTGGTAGGGAAAATGATGTTGCTTCACAATGATCTGTAGAAAAAGTCACCATATCCTCGGAGAACAATCAGGAGACATAATCATGTGCGTTTCTCAGGTAGCAGCTTCATTTTCTTTTATTTGTTCCCCAACAACAATGTCCCCGCTATTTTCAAACCCTCTGCAGTTTCCTCAGAGGTTTCTTCATTCAAGGTTATCCAAACAAATGACACAGAATCGACACCGCTTGAGGACATGTCTCAAAACTGCTGTTGAAAGTGAAGTTGATAGGAACTGATTTCTATCCTCCTGCCCTGCCGGCAGACCCCGAGCCACCACACCATACAAACATAGGCCTGTTATTCCTAAATGCTCTTTTTTTTTCTTCTGGTAACTTTCCACAATTTTGGCTATACTAAAACCACTGCAAAAACTACATCTTTTTAATTTTTTAATAGAGCCTTATTATGTAAGCAGGCTGGCCTCAAACTCACAATCTGCCTGCTTCAGCCTCTTGAGTGCTGGGATTACAGGTGTAACGCAACATGCACAGCTGAATTTATGGTTTTAATAAAACTAAGGGAAAAGGAGGAGTCACAAGAGCAGCCAGAAAATGGGAATGATAGAGGTGCTCTTCTCCCATGGGAGCAGAATCAAGAAACAGTCGTTAATCTCCAAATGGGACAGATGTGTATGAATTTCTTTGAGCTGCTATGGCAAATTACAACAAGCCGAGTGGCTTCTCACAAAAAAGATCGATCGATCGATCGATCGATAGATAGATAGATAGAATTTTTTCCGTTTTCTGTTGGTTAATTGGAGATAAGAGTCTCACGGACTTTCCTGACCAGGCTGGCTTTGAACCGCGATCTTCAGATCTCAGCCTCCTGAGTAGCTGGGATACAGGCCTGAGCCACCAGTGCCCAGCACAAATATTTTCTTTTCTTTTTTTAAATGTATTGTTATTGTAAACGTGATGGACAGAGGGGTTCCATTGACACATGTCAGGTAATGAGTACATTTCCTTTTGTACAGTGTCATCTTTCCTTCATTCTCTCCCATTCCCTCCCTCCCATGAGTTGTATAGTTAATTTATAATATAATTATTAATATGTTTTGGGGAAGTGGTACTGGGATTTGAACTGGAATCTTATCTATGCTAGGCTGGTGCTCTCCCGCTTCAGCCACATCCTGAACACTTTTTGCTGTTTTTCATATAGGTTCTCATATTTATGTCCAGGGTGACCTGAATCATAATGCTCTTATTCACACTTCCCACAGAGCTGAAACAGCTTTTTATTTGTTGCGATGGGGGAATCTTATGAATTTTTTAACCCAGCCTGGCCTCAAACTCCAATCTTCCTGAACCCTATCTCTCAAGTAGCTATGACAATAGGCTTGAATCACCATACTTAGCCAACAAATGAATCTTCTCTCTCGCTGTTCTAGAGACTGGAAGTCTTGACTAGAATGCACAGCATCCCTGGCCTATGACGTTGTGCCTTGAACACTGAGGACTCAAAAATTTTTGTAGACAATCCTGCCCTTAAAAGACAATATGATAAAAATGAGAAGCAGAAGACAGTGTCCTTCGTGAGGAAGGTAAAAAAAAAGTTTGTGCAGTATCACAACCAATATAGCTATTGTCAAATCACGAGTCTCCTAGAAACACTAGTAAATGTGAGAGAAGTCAATTCATTCATTTGTCCAACACAGACTAAGTTGCAAGAACTATTCTCAGTTCCAGAGATGGGGGGTGATTGAAACCAAAACCTGAAAGCTTACTGATTAAACATTATGGGGAGTTCTGACCTTTATTTAATGTGTAACACAACACTTTGGAAAGCTGTGACCCCTTCATTCAGAGCCTGTTCTCCAACCAGTCACCAGATGAGTTGTGATTCAAATGTGGGGAAAGGAGTAGACCTGGGGATGCCTGCAGATATGGGAATTTATTTCTAGGAAGGTGTGTGGTAATAAGGTCCATGTCGCAGGAACAGCTCTGCTTTAGCCTATCTTCCTCAAGAGTCACGAAACACTGTTCTTGAGCTAAACTCAGAGAACTATAGAACTGTCATTGATCCATCCATAGCCTCAACCAGCTGACCTATCAAGAGAGGTCTGGTTCTGCCAGGAAGAGATGGACAAAATGTTCACAAGTTATATGGTGGACATTACCCTAGTTGTTGCCAGAGATCATAGGGAGCTGAGAATAGAGATGGAACATTAGAAGACACTAAAAGGGTCATTGCAGTAACTATTTATCAGATAGTGGAAGATTTTTTTTGTCAGCCCTGGGGCTTAAACTCAGAGGACTGTCCCTGAGCTCTTTTGCTAAAGGCTGGTGCTCCACCACTTTGAGCCACAGTGCCACTTCCAGTTTTCTAGTGGTTATTTGGAGATAAGAGTCTCATGGACTTTCCTGCCTAGGCTAACTTTGAACCACAATCCTTAGATCTCAGCCTCCTGAGTAGCTAGGATTACAGACCTGAGCCACTGGCACCCAGCGATAATAAAAGAATTTCTGCATCCTTAACTAGTAAAAGATGAGCATCAAGCCTACACCACGCACCACTGAATAGACACGGCAAACTTTCTAGGTTAAAACAACTAAACAGTCAATATTTTAGGCTTTTCAGGCTAGATGGAACTACTTGACTCTGTCGCTGAAGTACAAAAGCAGCCACAAGCAATAACACATCAATAAGTGCCTGGTTGTGTTCCAATAAAACTTTTAAGAGGGGGCAGAAAGGGAGAAAGAATACAGGCCCTGGGCTGTGGCTTGTGACCCCTGCTTACAAAATGTAGCAGAGCTAATAGTCCCACAGAGCAGCCACATTTTCAACTTCAATCTCATTAGCACAGTCCTTCCAAGTAGATTTAACGAGCCACGACGATCCTTAAATGCATCCTTGATGTTAACAGATCCCTAGGGACTAAGCCAAAGTCAGCAATCCAATCACCACCGTCTCATTCCCCTCCCCCCTCCACACACCTTCAAATTAAGGTACTCACCCAGAAAAATCAGTAGTGAGAATTCCATAGTGGAAGATGTATATTCGGCTGATGTGGCATATCGTAAGGTATCCCATTGCTACATAAAAGGAGTACCTGAAATCCAAAACACAGATGACTGGTTCACTTTCCTCAATCAACGCTACAGTCTTCCTCTCTCTTCCTCTCTGCACCTATTGGTCACAAAGTCCGATCTGACCAGATGTCTTTCTTGGCCTGCAATTCCTTTCTCAATCCTACAGCTCATCAGAGAACTGCCTATCAGACCCTGTTCAGGCCAACATGTCATGTTCTCATGGTCATTTGGCTTGTTCTCACTCCAGCCATTCCACCCCCATATCCTGCTCCCTGACCTCAGCATGATTCATGGCTGCATGCCTGTATTTTTCTAGTACTGCATGCTAACCTGTGAAATTACAATATTAAAATGTCTGTGTGGGTGTCTGTTTCCTCAATACTGCAACCTTGAATATCCCAGCCCTCGGTGTGACACGCTGGAAGGGGTCAGTAACTTTTAGTGGAAATGAACTAAAACAAATCACTGGAATCATTTCCAATGATCCAGGAGCCCAGCAGAGACAGACATAACTTCAGAAGGCATTACTTTTAACATGTAGCATAAAACATGGAAGAAGAATGCTAAGTTAGATTGAAATTCATATATACACATTAAAACAACTCAGGAAGATTAGGTCAATACAAGGAATAGTAAAGAAAGAGTTAATAAAAATTTATTTAGCAGAAAAATCTAGCCAGATAATGAATTATAAAACATTACATATATATATATATATATATATATATATTATAAGGAATTACATAACCTTGAGGTCTCTGCCATTATTTATAAACAAAGATCACAGGATGAAGGACTAGAATGTAGCTCAGTAGTAGAGCATTTGCCTATCATGTGCAAGGCCCTGGCTTCTATCTCCAGGATAGAAAGAAAGAAAGAGAAGGAAGAAAAAGAGAAAGAAAAAAGAAAGAAAGGAAAGGAAGGAAGAGAAAGAAAGAAAAAGAAAGAAAGAAAGAATGGAAGGAAGGAGGGAGGGAGGGAGGGAAGGAAGGAAGGAAGGAAGGAAGGGAGGAAGGGAGGGAGAAAGAAAAAAGAGGGAGAAAGAAAATAGAGGGGAAAAAGGGAAGGAGATGAGGAGGGGAGGGAGTGAAAGAGGAGGGGAGGGAGAAGAGGGAAAGGGAAGTGGGAAGTGGGAGGGGGTGGAAGAGAGAGAGGGAATGGGAGGAGAGAAAAGGGAGTAGGGAAAGGGAAAGAGAAAGGGAAAGGGAGATGTTATGGGTTGAATAACCCTAATCTGAAAATCTAAAATTTGAAATGATATGAAATCTAAAATACTCTGAAATTCAAACGTTTCTGAGAGTCGTGTCAATCCCTGAAGGAGAAGTGCTGGCTTTGAAAAGCCATGATCCTCAGATCTCAGCCTCCCAAGTAGCTAGAATGATAGGTATGAGCCACCAGTGCCTGGTTAATGGAGCATTATTAAAAAAGAACTTGTGCAAGGACTGGTCACAAAACAGGGACTCCGGGGCTGACAGGTGCATCACCACAAATCCTCACAAGGCTTCTGTCCTGGGAGATACAAACCACAGGTTCCAGTTGGTTCCTCTGTGGTAGATAGATGTCTGAAGCTCCTGCCCAACAGAGGGGCTTGGGGTGGAAATAGAGGTTTCTAAAAGCACCCTGAAGAAACAGCCAGTCCTGAAATGGGATTGATCCATATGGCAGCAAACTGTATTCTTCCATCCCCACATCTCCTCCCTCCCTCCCTCTCTCTCTCTCTCTCTCTCTCTCTCTCTCTCTCTCTCTCTCTCTTAGTGGAAAGGAGGGTAAATCACAATGAATCGTGCAATCCTGTCTTGAAAAGAATCTGTGATAAAACCCTACTTTTACAGGTGGGTGACATGGTGTACAGAGAAGCTGCATTCTCTGTCCAGACTTCAGATTTCCTAGCTCTAGTCTGGAGCGTTCTTTCCCTGAAATAACTCAAGAAGAAATCACTTGGATTTTTTTTAAATCTACCCTGGTCCATCCTCTGGAAACTGTGAACCACTCCCTGACTCTGCAAAACTGGCAAGCTCTCCAAGCAAACAGGAAAAGGAAAAATAGTCCCTTTACTCATTGAACACAACCTGCCACTACTAGAGCACTTCTGTGGGGAAAGAGTCTGTAAGCAGTCTGTAAACCTCTCAGTACTGCCCGGGCTCTAGCCACTGAACTGGAATGCTGGAAACCTGGCTGTACCCTGGAACAAGTATGCATGTGAGTCCTTGGCCCTCTGAAAAAGGGTCTTCACTTTGTCCACATCCCATATATTTGGGGAGCGCAGATGACGTGCAATGAGTAAGAAGTTAGCAATAGACTACAAAGAGGCCACAATCTTATCAATCATTTAATTGCCTTCAAATTGGTATTTAGGTCTAGAGCTGGTAGCTCTCATCTGTAATCCTAGCTACTCAGGAGGCTGAGATCTGAGTGTCACAGTTCAAAGACAGCGCAGGAAGGAAAATCCATGAGACTTATTGCCAATTAATCACCAAAAAGCTGGAAATAGAGCTGTGGCCAAGTGGTGGAGTACTAACCTTGAGCAAAAAAACTAAGGAACAATACCAGGCCCTGAGTTCAAGATACAGTAGTGGAACAACAACAAAGGAAATGATGTGGAAAAGCCAAGAAATCTCATATGGTCTCACCACCACATTTAGACAAAAAAAAAAAAAGTAAAGCTGTATAAGCACCCGGCCTTATGAAGTATTTCTAAAATTCATTCTTTCCAGATTAGGAAAAAATTGACTTATTATTTCTCTCATGGAAAAAAAAACAATACTATTCTTTCAAGGAAGGCACTGAGAAGAGAGATAATTGGAATTGAGATTTTTCAGAGCTCATTTAAACACTAAAAGACTATAAAGATTAAAGGCACACAAAAACGTTTTTCTCTGAAACCCAGAAATTTATTGCCACTATAAAATTATATACTGAAAAGTAAATTTTAATGCTGTTGAGGAGATATATTGTACTCGTAGTATTATTAGTCCAAGAGCTATTGAGGCTATAAAAAGTACATGCTACAGAAAAGCCATCGGGAAAAGAAAGAAAAAGATATAAAAGTATCTTAAGCAGATACCAGTGGCCTATAACCATAGCTCTTCAGGAGGCTGCCACCTGGGGGACTGAGATTTGAAGATAGCATTGGAAGAAAAAGACTTCATCTCTAAATTAACAGGCAAAAGGCAAGAGTGAAGGCATGGCTCAAGCGGTAGAACACTAGACATGATCTGAAAAAGCTGAGTAAGAGCTCAAGGACCCATGTTCTGGTCCTACTAGTGGGGGGAGGGGGGAAGAAAAGAACAAGAAAAAAATGTCTTTTAGAAGCAACTCATTCATTGATTCCATAAATATTTACTGAGTCCTACATGAGCCAGATATCATTCTAAGTTTTTGTCTGAATGTGAAGAAAGAAAGAAAGGAAGAAAGAAAGAAAGAAAGAAAGAAATTTTTTATAGCATTTCTATCCAGAGACATCAAAAGGTAGTCAATACTGAGTTTTCAGGAAGCTCATAAGAAACAGTAACAATATGAAACCAATGCCTGACCACCTGAGCAGGCAACCTTAGGCAGAGTTACATTACCTCTGTATTTGTGATCAAAACATCATAGTAAATCTCTTTGTTGTACATATTCAAAGTATATAATTTAATATATCACCAAGTTCAAGATTGTGAACATGAGTCATCAATCCCTAGAAGTGTTCTCAGGCTGTTTTGCGACCCCTCTTTTGAGTCGCTGCACCATTTCACCCTCCAAAAGCCTCTAATCATCTGTCACCATAAATCAGCCTGAATTCTCTAGAACAGACTCTATGGCTTCCTCCAGCTGGTACATTTTTTTATTTTGAGATATGCCATGTCATTCTACATATACAGCATTCATTCCTTTCTTTTGCTGAGTAGTATTCCTTTATGGTAGACATCTGAATTGTCTTTAATTTGGGGCTACCACAAATACAGCTGGGCTGATAAACTGATTCTCTTTCACTTGAGATTGGCTTTGCAGCCCACCCTTTCCATGAAGCCTTCTAGAAGCCTCTTATCCCTCCTTCTGATATCCTACAGAAGCTTTTCACTGTGGAAAATGAGGAGAGTATGCATTGCCCCTGGAAATACTTTTTCAAAGATCATACAACAAGGTGTGGCACAGTGGCTCATGCCGAAAGCTCAGCTATATAGGAAAATTGTGGTTCAAAGCTAGTTAGGACAACAGTTAGCAAGAACTCATCTCAACAAATAAAGCAAAAATGTTGGCAAGCACCTAGATAATCTGTTATGTGGAGGTACAGATAAGAAGGTAGCAGTCCAGAGCTAATCCAGTACAAAAACAAAAGACATTATATAAAAAAGTAATAAGAAAGAGCTGGGGGCATGGTTTAAGTGGTACAGCTCCTGCCTAGCACACAAAAGGCCCTGATTTTCAAATCCCAGTGCCATTAAAAAAAAACAATAAAAATAACTACACATTGATTTCCAGAGTCTTACCTGTGAACATTAGATACACTTGCAGTGACCATGACTCCATAACACAGTAACACCAGCACAAAAAGATGTACAGAGTACCTTTAAGACATAAGGAAGGGAAAGATGGGCCCAGAACATATTTCATATTCACATCCCTGTTAGCTACTCCACCTCCCCTCCCTCTCCAAATCAAGTGACCTGTGAACTCTTGTTCACATCAGAGAAAGTACATCAAGCAATCAAGTGTTGTATGTAATCAAGATTCTGGAGGGACATCTGGAACCCAGGACCTACCAGCCAATGCCAATCCCAGTCATTAATGAATGGCTGTACTTTTTATCTATAGGATAACAGAGTTCTTGCTCTAAAACAGTACCAAATATTAGCCTTCCATAGATACCAGGGTTTTCTCTTACATGACAGCTGATTCAAACTACAAATCTTTTTTTTTTGTATGTCATGGGCCTCAGCACTCTCCCTCAGAACTTCAGCTCAAGGCTAGTGCTCTACCACTTGAGCCACAGCACACTTCTGGTTTTCTGAGTGGTTTATTGGGGATAAGAGTCTCATGGACTTTTCTGACCAGGCTGGCTTTGAACCGAGATCCTCAGATCTCAACCTCCTGAGTAGCTAGGATTACAGGCGTGAGACTAGTGCCCAGCTTGCAAATCTCTTCTTAAAGGTTTGTTCAATCCTCCAGATCTCAGCCTCTCATAAGTAACTAGGATTGCAAGCAAGAGCTACCAACACTGCTCTCAGAAGTCTACCTTTTTAAGAAAAACCCATACCACAGTGACTTTCATTGGTAGTTCATTGGTTCCAGCTTCTTATGCATAATAGAGTTCCTGCAGTAACCTTATGATTTTACAGTGAAGTGTCTATAATGATATTTAACAATACCATATACATATATAGCTGTATTTATTGAATAATTTTTTTTGCAGTGGTGGGGATAGAATCCATGGCCTTGTACAGGCAAGGCAAGTAGTCTTCTACTACTGAGCTACATTAACAGCCTTGATTTTTTTTGTCAGTGACTTTCTGGTAGCTTAGGCTGGTCTCAAACTTTCAATCATCCTGTTACCAACTCCCAAGTGATGGGATTACAGACATGCACTACACATCTGACCATCTATTTCTTACCTTAGTGTAACAAAGAATATCACCACAAGCCAGGTGTGCTGACTCACACCTGGAATCTCAGCTACTATGGGAGGCTGAGATTAGGGGGATTATAGCTCCAAGCCAGCCTGAGCAAAATATTAACAAGACCTTATCTCAGCAGCAAAATCAAGACGTAGTGACATTGCATGTCATCCTGGATATAACAGGATATGTGAACAGGAGGATCACTGTCCAATTCAACCTGGACAAAAAGAGAAACGCTATCCCCAAAATAATCAGATGAGCTGAAGGCATGGCTCAAAGACTATGAAACCCTGAGTTCAAGCCCCAGTACCACACACAGGGAAAAATAAATTATATATATATATATATATGTATGTATGTATCATATAAGTGATGTACATTGAGAATTTATGAATCACATACTTACCAGCCAAAGCAGAAAATGACAAAGTAAATTCCTAAAATGGTGGCAAATGCATGTCGGACCTGAGGACTGGTTTTACCAGGATGTAAGTAGATGCGAAACCAGAAAGCTGTAGCCAAGGCAAAGAGCTGGCAGGCCACGAAGTTAACCTACCAGAGGGGAGAGGGAAAAAGAGACAAGAGAAGTCTTTACTCTTTTGTCCAGGTGTAAATTTATTTTTTAAATTAGAAACCTTTTTTTTCAGATTTCTACATCAAGATGCATGGTCAATTTTGCCTTTGATTTTGGCCTCAGAAGAGCATTTGGAAGAGGTATAAAATGAAATCCCAAAAGTAAAATAAAACAACTTTAACTTCACATGGTCAGAGAAATGATACATGCAACATTTTCTGTGGCCCTTTAAACTGCTTTTCTCAGTGCACACATTGGAAACTCTGAATGTAGAAACTAAGCTGGCCATGAGATTCCTTGTCTCTAGTGCTACCCTAAGGAAAAGAATGTATTATCCTGAGGATGCAAAGCTGGGCAGGAGACCCCCTCCTTTTTATCTTAAAATCAAAGGTTTCTCCAATGAAACCATGGAGTTTTTCCTGACTCATTTTAAATTACCAACAAATAAGCAAAGCTATTCTTCAAATTCAAGGTGTTTTACTAAGGATTTCTAAGAAGAGATCTAGTCCTCCATTAAAACTTCCAGTAATAGCCGGGCACTGATGGCTCATGCCTATAATCCTAACTACTCAAGAGGTTGAGATCTAAGGATCAAAGTTAGAAGCCAGCCAGGGCAGAAAAGTCCCCATGGGACTCCTATCTCCAATTCACCTATCAAAAGCCAACTGAAAGCGGAGCTGTGGCTCTAAGTGGTAAAACATAAACCTTGAGCAAAAAGAGACAGTGCCCAGGCCCTGATTTCAAGCCCCAAAACTGATAATAATCAAACATCTAAGAACAAGTCTGGCCAACAATACAAGGCAAACACCAAATTTTCTTAGAAATAAAACCTCAGGAATCCATCTTTCAGGCATATTTTGTGTATTTATGGATGGATTATGGCAAAACTAAGAGGTAGAGTGTTTGCGGGAGGGGGGACAGAGAGAGAGGATTTAACTAAAAGAAAAAAAGCAAGTAGACCAATTTATCTTTCACTTTAAATTTACACAAATCAAATTCAAAACTCATTTGAAGTTGGCTTAACCATTCACAAAAGTGACTTTTGCTCATCAAAGTATTATGAATGAAAATGCCAGAATCATTTCACTTTTAGAAAGTACTTAATAAACAACAAACCAAAAAGACTGAAGAGATGAATGAACTCTCAACTTTCATATCAGTGGTTTTCTTGCCACAATAGAACTCACTTTGATCAATAAAAAGCAACGATACTGGGAATTTTGATTCCAGTGATGATAGAAATAAAAAGTAAACACAAAACACAAATAACCAAAACTGAGTCTAGTGAACAACTCTCAGGCAAAAGATTTAAAGCCTAAAGTGTGGAAGAAAAAGGGTACAGCACTGATTTTGGCAACATTAGGCTGTCATCCACCGAGAACAGGCATTTATCAGATTGTTAAAGTGTTCTGTGATCTGGTAACCTTTAGAAGTCATGAGGATGTTTTATTTTTAATTTTTTGGTGGTACTGATGTCTACTCAGGGTCTACACGTGATAAGCAAGTGCTCCACAGATGAGCTGTGCCTCTAAGTCCTTTTTTGAACTTGGTTTTGTTGTTGTTGTTGTTATTTTTTGTCAGTCATGGGGCTTGAACTCTGGACCTGAGCGCTGTCCCTCAGCTCTTCAGCTCAAGGCTAGCACTCTACCACTTGAGCTGCAAGCACCACTTCCAGTTTTCTGGTGATTTATTGGAGATAAAGGGTTCACAGCCTTTCTTGCCCAGGCTGGCTTTGAAGCGCGATCCTCTTGGCTTCCTGAGTAGTTAGGATTACAGACATGAGCCTGGCTTGAACTTGTTACTTTTGAGATAAGGTCTCTCTTTCTGTCCAAGCATATGCCTGGACTGTGATCCTCCTATTTTAGACTTCTCATCATAGCTGGAAAGACATGTGTGTACCATCACACCCAACTTTTTGCTGTTGGGATAGAATCTTGTAAACTTTTCTGCCCGAGCTGACCTGGAACCTTTGATGCTCCTGATCTCAGCCTCTCACATAGTTAGGACCCCTCATAGCTCAAAGAAAATATTACTCATATGGCTGAAGGTATGGCTTTAGTGGTAGAATACTGGCCTAGAAAATACCACTCTGAATGAATTTTTATTTCATTTTTGAAAATTAGTACTGAATTTCCTATTTGAGATTAGATCTCCTTAGTCTTCTCAAAAAACTGTTCCCAAATACAGCAATGGTACTCACTAGACACTATGTTGAAAATGAATTATACAACTTGTAGGCCCTGAGTTCAAGTCCCAATTCAGCCCCACACACAAAGTATAATATACAAAATTGTGTGCATCTTTACATACAGAAAAAGACCAGCAATGACTTACAGAAACAAGCAAAGATAGCATGTAAAATTGAATATGGCTATTCTAGATCTAGGCAAATTTTTTATAAAATTTTGTTTACAATTGAGAATGATGAGATCCATGTGGAATTTCCCCTACACTCACAACACACACTGACAACAGACACACATGCACATATCCATCCTTAATGCCCTCACTCCATCCTCAGAGCTGTAGTCATTAACTACAAATAGGAGGAAGTTAGGCAAGAATCTTAGAAATCACCTGTAAAATTTTCACCTTAAAGCAAAACAATTTCTCATAGGCAGCAAAGTATCAAGAGTCACAATGTGGGTAGGCAAAGAGACAGAGATTCATGCCCTACACAGTTTAGAATGTGCTTTGTAACCCTGCACACTTCAATGGAAAGTGCAGGGTTTTACTTTTCTACCTCTCTATAGTCTCCAAATCGGAGAAGCAAGCTGCCTTTTCATTGGTGAGCTCCAACAATGGGCTCTCAACCTTTCAAATACTGTGCAGACCCTTCTGCATAAAGAAACAGTCAAGCGCAGGCATTTTGTTGGGCAGATCCTAAAAACAAACGAGACTGGTGTAACTCAGACTCAGCAAGAGCTCAAGTTGCACAGCTCTTGCAAGATTTCAAAGTCACTGCAAGAAAATCAAACACAAGCCCAAGCATCTGACTTTGTATTTCACCAGCCCCAATTAAACAGTGCTGCCCTTTTCTAACACGGAGTCTTAAATCTCTCTTCTCTCATATGCTTCTCAGGAAGTGTACATTTGGGGATTTCTGTTTCCCTGGCTTTCATGCTTCCAACAGAGGGGAAAAAAAAAAAAACTTTGTCAAGAGCTAAAAATAGTGCCTTCCTCCTAATGAAGAGATGCAAACATGTTATTTTTTTTCAAGCATGCTATTTTTAACAACTAGAAAAGATTAACAAACCAGAATTATTTTCCCTCCTACCAGAATTTACCAATAGCTCACCACTGGAAGTTCCGGCAACTGTCCAGGCCTGGAATGTTTTGCTCAGCACTCTGCCTTATATGTGCCAAGACAAAAACCAATCTAATTAAACAATCCCTTATTTCAAGTAAGCCATTCTGCCACCACAAACAGTCCTCTTTTTGCATTTCCCCTACGAATAAGAGAACCAAACTAGCTATTCCCTTCTGTGAAACAGAACAAAAAGTATTTGTACCATTCTCTTCAGTTACATTGCACCGTCAAAGAGATCCTTATTGTCCGCTTTTTCCTAACTCCTTGGAATGTCAGCAAGATAATACCTCTAAAATCCGAACTGAGCTCCTTTGCCCAAGCTTGTAGATAGCAAATATTATTTAAGACAAATAGTCAATATGTGTAATTTATACCCGATCAAACCTTATATTGGTATTTCATGCCATCCTAACTATAAATATATTTCATTGAGTATGTACCATATGTCAAGGTTGGGGGTGGGGGGGACAACAACCACCAAACCCTTCATCTAAGTTGTTGAACAAAATTAGGAAGTAGCTTGCTCCTACCTTGTACAGAAGGAAATGAAGAATATACACAGTGGCTAGAGTTTGAAATCAAACTCATCACTATCTATATTCCCACTCCATCATGCCTAGCATTCTCTCCATAAACATATCACTCCTGGAGAATTTGGTCACTACCGTTATTAATTCTCTAGGACTGTCATCACAAAGTAGCTCTCACGACATGGCTTAACCAACAGAAATGGATTGTCTCACTGTTCTGGAAGCTGGAAGTCTCAAACCAAAGTGTTGGCAGGGATGGGGTCTCTTGGGACTGCTCTGCTTTCCCCTGTACCTCCAGGAGTGTCTGGTTGCTTCTTCTTACAAGGACACCAGTCATACTGGATTATGGCTCAACCTAATGATCTCAGTTTAATTTAATCACCTCTTTAAAGACCCTATCTCCAAATGCAGCCACGTTCTGAGACACTGGCAGATAGGACTTCAACGTGTAAATTCAGCCCATAACACAGACCAGTAAAAATTCTTTCCCCAACTCACAGGAGATGAAACAGACTCCAATGTCTTTGCTCCTACAAGTGGGAAATAAGCAGCACCTAAACTAAAGGCTGCTGGGATGCTCTAGGCCTTAGAAGAACCTGGCATTAACTGCCTGGGAGTGTTGAGGCTAAAACCCAGCTTCTAAGGGGGCCTCCCTCTTACTCTTCCTACCACTATGAAAACCTGCCAGCCTGTTAAAAGTACACATGTGTCAAGCACGTCCTTTAGCCTTTAGCTTTGTTCCAGGCAGTTCAGTGACAATAAGCATTTACTGAGCACATGTTATGTGACAGGGCCTCAACAAATGTCAACTGTTTTTGCAAGTGACTCCTGTCTAATACCTCATTTAACTTCGCAACAACCCTCCACATACTACTAAGGAAAGTATGACACCAGGTCAGAAAAACCTTCAGCCTTAGGTCAGCACCTTGAATCAAACCAACACTATTGGTCTACAGGTGATCCACTGCCTCTGGAGATCTTCGTCCTGTGTAGCCAGTATTCAAAGCCACCTCACTGAGGCTCAGAGTCCTTTCCAATGACTGTTCTTTGAGATTAAACTCTCTGATTCTCTGGAGCTTGTATACTCACATACCAAGCCTCCTTCACCAGCTCAGAGTAAAAGAATCCAGTCCCTGTGGTGTGAGATCATCCCTCTTTAATTCTTGGAGAAACAATCCTCACATACTTGGTTAGAGTTTAAACTGTACAGGGTGATTTCTGGCTTGTGCTAGTCTGAAAATAATATGCTCCCTGTGTTGGTTACAGTTTAGAATGAAAACACTTTAAAAATGGACCACGATGGATAGGGGGGACTAGGGGTAGAAGGAGAATGGTTATGCTGTCTTTTTAGGAATGGTTAGGGAAAAGGTCTAAAAATGTATAAGTAAAAGTCTCCCATTATTATCAATTATGTTATTAGCCACTATAAAAATGTTAATGATGATAGCCAAGCATTTAAGAACTGGCCAATGTCCTTTAGCCTGTATATGTGTTCTCATCTTCACAGTTCAAAGCTCCTTTGGTGATAAGGAATTTAAGTCACAGAGAAATTAAGGGATATGTAGACCTAGTCAGTGACCACACTGGGTTGAAACCTAGAGCATCTAGTTCCTCAGCCACCTGCTGAGCCACTACAAAAAGGTTCCTCTCACTCCACACACCCCTCCCCTCCAACTAATTCCAACATCTCACTTTCCAGATGAAGAAAAAACTGAAGCCCTGAGACAGGTAGCGGCATGGTCTGGGCCATATCGCCCCTGACCGTCAAAGTTGGACGTAGAACCCCAGTATCCTGTATGTGAGCAAACATTCCTTCACTGTGACAAACACCTGGGGTGAACAACTCAAGGGCACAGATGCTTTAGTTTGTCTCAGTTTCAGGATTTCAGTCCACAGTTACACAATCCCTGTAGCATCACAGAACCTCATGACAGGAAACAGCCATGAAGATTTGTGTACCTCATGGTGGTCAGGAAGCAATGAGGGGAGAAGGGTGAACAGGTAGACTCCCAATATCCACTTCAAAGGTACTCCACCAACGACCTGACTTGCTCCAACTAGACTTCAAACTCATCAAGGTCCCATGGGCTGAAGAGCAAGCCATTAACACATGGTTCTTTGGGAGACATTTCAAGAAGACTCAGGACCAGTATGTTGTCTTATGCTCTGCACAAGCTTCAGATGTGGAGTGGATGTAAAACAGGGTACCGGAAATGGAGACACTCATCTAGGAGTAAGGGAGTAAAGAGGTGGACAATGCTGTAGGAGACAGCACTGAGTAAAGATAGGGAAGGTTTCAGGATCATAGAATGTTTAACTAGAATTTGAGCATCTCAAGCTGTATTCTCACAGATCACCATCACTACCAATAGGGGAAAATAGTTGGCTCTTGTTTGTTTGTTTGTTTTTAGTCATGGCACTTAAACTCTGGTCTTGGGCGCTGTCCCTCAGCTCTTCAGCACAAGGCTAGTGCTCTACCACTTGAGCCCACAGCACCACTTCTGGCTTTCTGATGGTTTTTTGGAGCTAAGAGTCTCACAGCCTTTCCTGCCCGGGCTGGCTTTGAACCACAATCCTCAGATCTCAGCCTCCTGAGTAGCTAGGATTACAGGATTACAGCGCCCAGCTTGGTTATTTCATATTAATAAGCAAGCACTAGGTAAAAATATCATCTATTTCCCCAGTGTAGAAAAGGAAGAAGTTAAATACGATTATTTAAAGACAAAGAAAAACTGACTCCCAAGTGGTTTCTTTTCCCATCAACCTGTGTTGTCTCCTAAGTAAATCTCACCTTGAAAAGTCTCTTTCCTGGTAGACTTAAGTAAAAGCTTTAAAGCTCCAAAGAGGAAAAAAGAGGAGAGAAGGAGGAGAATGCAGTAAAAAAATCAAGGTAAAACCTATAAAACTAAGAAGAGTGAGGACAGGGGTGAGTATACCAAGCTGAGTTGCATTGAACTGCTCTGTTAAACAGCAACTGCTTCATACAACTACGTAAAGGTAATTTTTTTAACTCTGAGGAAAGTTTTCTCCACAGCCCCAAACGCCTTCTACCACCAATCGCATTGCTTTCTATTTACGATGTTACTAAGAATGAAATCTTTAGGGACAGTGGAAAATGCAGAAACATTTCTTATGCAACACCCCTGGGTGTGACCAATTATCTTAGACTGTGTTGTGAAATGCACAAAAGTCTCCAAACAAAATTAATTTTAATTTAGTCTAATTTGAAAATAAGATACACTGCCCTTAACTTTAAGGAAACAGAGATCAGGGCCTTTGGGGGGGGGGGGGGGGGGGGGGGGGGAGGGGAGGAAGGCAGCTAGGATATAGCACACAGGCCATAATTCCAAGAATAGAGGGTCCCAAAGTCTAGGGGCCACTGTGGAGTGAAGAGACTGTCAAAATTAGAGTAGCTGTAATTCTGCCTTATTCCCTAGGAGCCAAGCTATTTTGAGTTCCTACTATAAAATCACCTTCTCTAAAACATATGTGTCAGAAAAAGGAAACTCCACTGTGGACCAATTTGAAAAGAAATTTATCCCTCATCCCATGGCTGGTTCTCTACCACTTAAGCCACACCCCCAGTTCCAGCTCTTTGCTGGTTAATTAGAGATGAGAGAGTCTTGTGAGTTTGTCCACCCAGGCCAACTCCAAAATGGGATTTTCAGATCTCATCCTCCCTAGTAAACTAGGATTATAGGTGTGAGTCATTATGCCCACATATTTAACTTGACTGTTTTAACTTGATTGTTTTCTCTTACCTTTCTGGTCACGGGCTTCTCTGCTTCCTTTGAGGGCTGAGCCCTCACTGCCCATATCTGCAATGATAGTGCTTCCAGGAGCAATCCCACAGAAGGGCCACAGGCCCTTCTCCTACATGCTCAAGGCAATCTCTCCCTCACTCAGTATAAGACCTTCTGTACTTAGTACAGAAACACTCCTGCAATTCCCAAGCCTTCTGAATTCTCTACTGACCTAAATTTCACCACATCCACAACACTTATCATCTTCCTCCTGTCTATTCCTCCTTCTGGATCGTCAATCTAAAAGAAGGGCCATGCAACCACTCAGTGTTGCCACTTGTATTTCCTCTGGGTAACGTAGCTCATGCCTATAATCCTAGCTGCCCAAGAAGCTGAGACCTGGAGGATCACCGTTTGAAGCCAGCTTGGATAGAAAAATCCAAGAATCCAGATGTTAATCAGCAATAAAAAAATTGGGCTGGAGGTGTGATTCAAATGGTAGAGTGCCAGCTGAGTGCCAGCTGAGTGCCAGTGAGCAAGCTGAGCAAGTATGAAGCCCTGAGTTCAAGTCCCAGGACCAACAAAAGTAGTAAAAAGAAAAGGTAAGTTCATATACCCGCCTCACATAAAAATGGAAATTCTGTAGCTTCTGAGTAAAAGAACCCAAAACTTTCTAAGACATTTCTAATCCAGTAAAAGAAAAAAAAAGTCTGTAAGTCTAGGATTTCAATCCCAAAAATTCCACATAACAATCATAGAGATTAAAAACAGGTTTTTAAAAAGACACCAACCACATCTTTGTGGAAATAGCAATAATAATGACTCATTTTGGAACACTATCTGAAACAGGGTCAAAAAAACACATAGGAGAACACAAAGGAGAATCCGGACTTAAGAAGAGGTAGACCAGGAACTTTTTAAATCTGGGGCCTCCATACAAAGCCAGGCACTCAGTATTTAGAAACACTGGTTTAGAAGTGAAGAAAAGAGGAAGGTAGAAGTGTTCAGGAAAGGAAAGAAATAAAAATGAGAATGACAAAAAGACCTGGTACCAGTCAACACTTCACAAGGCATTTGTGGTGCTCAGATGAGATCTGGGTGTTTGATGGCTCCTTGTAAACAATAAAAACTCTAAGCAAAGCTCAAGTACTTTCCAGATAAATCAGAGTACCTCATTCACAGAAACTTTGGTGAGCTGTTACTGTTTGGGTTCCTAGCCCCTACTGCAGTGCCTAGAATAGAATAACTATTTAATCTCTGTGGGAGGGATAAAGGGAGGGAGAAAAAGGCTTTGGTATACTTCAAGTGGTAGAGCACTTGGTAGAACAAGTGTGAGGCCCAGGGTTCAGACCCCAATACAAATGAATGAGCAAACAAATGAATATAAAAAGAAGGAAGCTAAAAATCACAAGCAGAAGCATTAAAATGACCCTAAGAGATATCAGTCAATAGAATCCATAGCTGATTGCTCTTGAGAAGGACTCTAGCTAATCTCTCTCACTTCTTGACTTTATCATCATGATGAAAGGTAGCATCCTTGGTGGCTCATAACCATAATCCTAGCTACTCAGGAGGCTGAGATCTGAGGATTGTG